AACAGAAAGGAAGAGACCATGAAAATGAACAAAATCTGGCTACCAGTATTAAAAAACTCTAAAATTATAACAGCTAAACAACAGAGAGGAAAAAAACCAGGCACAGATTAACACCTCCCAGCAACAGATTTTCCCAGGCTCAGGCAGGCCTTCAAATGCTAATGAAGGTGATCAGCTAAACATTCACACCTAACTGCAGCAGGGAAGAGCTCCTTGCCCCACCCCAGCCATTCCACAGATATATAAACCCATTTTTCCTACTTCCAACAGACCTCACAACCTCTGAGGATGCTTGCCATAGATGCAGGCGAAACGTCAGGAGAAATGCCTCTAGAACATGGCTCTATAGCCCGAAAAAACCCACAAGAACCTAGAAACTATCACTATTCTATATGCTTTCCTAATAAGTTCAACTAAAAGCTATGCTATGGGACTTATGGTTTGATTGTTGTCTAAAACCATCCAAAGCCTCAATCACCTTGTAGAAGTAATGCAGTTTGACACTACTTTAACTGCCATGGCTGAAGTCCTTGTGAAGATCTTGGAGTCCTTGTGGACAACAAGTTAAACATGAGCCAACAATGTGATGTGGCGGCAAAAAAAGCCAATGGGATTTTGGCCTGCATCAATAGGAGCATAGTGTCTAAATCTAGGGAAGTAATGCTACCCCTCTATTCCGCTTTGGTTAGACCACACCTGGAATATTGTGTCCAATTCTGGGCACCACAATTCAAGAGAGATATTGACAAGCTGGAATGTGTCCAGAGGAGGGCGACTAAAATGATCAAGGGTCTGGAGAACAAGCCCTATGAGGAGCGGCTTAAGGAGCTGGGCATGTTTAGCCTGAAGAAGAGAAGTCTGAGAGGAGATATGATAGCCATGTATAAATATGTGAGAGGAAGCCACAGGGAGGAGGGAGCAAGCTTGTTTTCTGCTTCCCTGGAGACTAGGACACGGAACAATGGCTTCAAACTACAAGACAGGAGATTCCATCTGAACATGAGGAAGAACTTCCTGACTGTGAGAGCCGTTCAGCAGTGGAACTCTCTGCCCCGGAGTGTGGTGGAGGCTCCTTCTTTGGAAGCTTTTAAACAGAGGCTGGATGGTCATCTGTCGGGGGTGATTTGAATGCAATATTCCTGCTTCTTGGCAGGGGTTTGGACTGGATGGCCCGTGAGGTCTCTTCTTTTGATTCTGTGATTCTGTGAATGCTATGGAAGCCTGGGATTTGTAATTTGGTGAGGCACCAGCACTATTTTGCAAAGAAAGCTAAAGGCTTTGTAAAAATACAGCTCCCACAATTCTATAGTAGTCAGTCTTGGCAGTTAACGTGGTGTCAAATTACATGAATTCTCCAGTGTAGATGCACCTCACGCCATGGGAACATACATTTTTAACAGGTGGCACAGTGAGTTAAATCGCTGAGCTGCTGAACTTGCTGACCGAAAGGTCACAGGTTTGAATCCGGGGAGCAGTGTGAGCTCCCACTGTTAGCCCCAGCTTCTGCCAACGTAGTATGAAAACATGCAATTGTGAGTAGATCAATAGGTACCATTCTGGTGGGAAGGTAACGGCACTTCATGCAGTCATGCCAGCCACATAACCTTAGAAATGTCTATGAACAACGCCGGCTCATCAGCTTAGTAATAGAGATGAGCACCAACCTCCAGAGTCAGACATGACTGGACTTAATGTCAGGGGAAAACCTTTGCCTACCTTTACCTCCTACAAATGGCAAAAACAAAAAGATAGAAAGGGAGATCCATCATACTGAAATTCCATTCCTCTTCATTTTACTTCCCTGCCCCTTGCTCCCTTCCTAGAAATTATCTGCCTGGAGTCCACCATAGATACATTCCAGACGGATATAGGTTTATGAATGATTTTTTTGTATTTCTTTAAAAGAGTCCCATAGAATCTTAAAGAAAGGTGTCTACATGGGTCGAATAACCTGTGATCACCCAACATTGTGTCCTGGCTATCCCTACAACATTTTTGAATTTCTGATGGGTGTGTGTTTATTCGTTCAGTCGCCTTCAACTCTTTGGGATCTCATAGACCAGCAGATGCCAGATCTTCCTGTCAGCCATCACCACCCCCAGCTCCTTCAAGGTCGAGTCAGTCACTTCAGTGATAACATCCATCCATCTTGCCCTTGGACAGCCCCTCTTCCTTTTTCCTTCCATTTTCCCCAGCATCATTATCTTCTCCAAGCTTTCCTGTTTTATCATTATGTGGTCAAAGCACTCAATCTTTGCCTCTAATATTCTTACCTTCAGTGAGCAGTCAGGCTTTATTTCCTGGAGTATGGACTGGTTTGATCTTCTTGTGGTGCAAGGGTAATGGTCTTCTTGCCATTGGATGGGTAACATAGAGTAAACCCAATCAACCCGATTCAGCTCCACATTAAGGAAGGTTGAGGAATGTTCTGGTTTTTCCCTAAAACTTATGAGTATTCTGAATCTTCAGAGCAGTGTGGAAAGCAGGAGTGGGTCTGATTTGGACCAGTTTACTATGCACTTAGGTCACCACTGCCATCTCTTTTTCACTGCACTCATCAGCACAGGGAAAGGGGTGTGGCTGCGGAGCTCCATGTGAGTGAGCTCCTGGCCATCACTGGTTATACTGGTTGTGGGTTGGGTGGTGTATTTATGCATGTTTTCATTCATATCAAGGTTTGTTTGGTTTTTTTGTTGGGGCGTGTGTTGGGGGCAAAAACTGCATGAAATTCACATCTGTGTGTGAGAGAGAGGGGGGGAGAGAGGGGGAGAGAGAGAGAGAGAGAAGGAAGGGGGGAATGTTGTTGTTGGGGGGCTTGAGGAAGCACATAATTGAGGACCAGAGCCATGTGTGACTTGAGGGAAAATTTCCTTTGTTCCCTACCCAAAGCCTCCCTCTCTTTTTCTCTCTCCCCTCCATCATTATACACACACACAAACACACACACATAGTTTTCAAGTCCTTATGGGGTAAAGACAGGAACAATAGCTTACCAATATAAAGAAGGAGCTGTGATGCAAATCAGATGATGATGAACTGGTTCAACTTATCTGAGATAGAAAACCAGTGAGAGTGCTCCTATCCTCCTATTCTTTCCTATAAGAACTACCTTGGTTGAATTGCATCTCTGCTCTCTTCTTTTCTTTTCTCACCAGCAAGCAGCAGCACTGGTTCCTCGCAGGGCTGACAACTGCAGAGGGATGGTAGTTTTGGATACTGCTCAAAGGACTACAAAATAGCTCCTTGCACACTGTAAAAAGTCTTATACACATGGTTTTCTGCATGCATGTCACTTAGAAGGATTCAAGCTATTTTTGTTTGCTTTGCATCTCTGAAAATAGTGTGGGTGCTGTGAAGTGCATCAAAAGCATTCTGACACATGTGTAGATAAATTACTTCTGCGAACCGATGCACATTTGTAAGAACCTGTATTTCATATAATTTGAAAGATAAGAGAGAAACATCTTATTTCCCCTCCTGCATTACATTTTCTCTCCTTTTTGGTCCAGTAGTCACCAACAATTGTAGAAGCACTGCTGTTGTCAACTTCCTGGAAAGATATTCAATAGCCTGCTTCTAAAATGTAGGACTCTGTCGCTTTCCATTAAGGTTGGTGGTTCAGGTTTGCCAGCCAAACTTGAGATGTAGGGACAATTCATGAGGTCATTAAGCATTACCACAGTTCCTCAAAGCTTGTCAGTCAAGCAATGAGAGAAAGAGAGGAGAGGAGGAAGGGAGAGAAATAAAGAAAGCACAAATGAATGAAAGACAGAAAGAGATAGTGAGCACAAATATCCTCTTGGGAAATTAGAAAATAACATTCCGTTAAAGTGCTGTTTCCAAATCAAGGAAAGCATGGGGATTATTTCTTCTCACTCACTTAGAGAGATGATTTAAGGAACATTTAATTTAGACTGATGTAAGCAGCGTCAGCCCTGGTTAGTACTTGGATGGGAGACCACCAGGCATGTAGGGGGGGGGCCTTAGGGGCTTCAGCCCCCCCCCCCGAAATTCTCATGGTGGTTCGCGAAAAGGCCTTACTGGCGCATTATTTAAACTGTTATGTTTATTCATATCATGATCTGCTCACCATACTCAATATATCCCATATGCATGGGGGTATTGGGGTAACGATACAAAAGGTTTGCTAGGGTAGACCCTCTTTCACTCAGACTCAGCCCCCCCCCCCCCCCCGAATCAAAATCCTGGCTACGGGTCTGGAGACCACCAACTAATATTTGCTTGTTGCAGGCTGTTTTCATAGATGAGCTAGACATTTGCACCTAGCACTTTCATCTTGACTTGGAGTTAAATCCAAAAACAAGTGAATTTGCAGCTTATCTGAGGATGACCAATGAAACCAGAAACCCAGAGCCAGGCCCTGAGATCTGATGACCCTTTTAAAGAATAAAAAGTATGGTATTTGGTTGCTGTGAGATTTCCATGCTGTATGGCCATGTTCCAGAAGCATTTTCTCCTGACATTTTACCCATATCTATGGCAGGCATCCTCAGAGTTTGTGAGGTCTGTTGGAAACTAGGAAAGGAGGTTTATATATCTGTGGAATGTCCAGGGTGGGAGAAAGAACTCTGTCTGCTTTAATCAAGCTGGCCAATTGCAACATTCGCCTCAAATAGACAAGAGTTGTTTTCTTCCACCTTGGACATTCCACAGATATATAAACCTCACTTGTCTAGTTTCCAACAGACCTCACAACCTCTGAGGATGCCTGCCATAGATGTGGGTAAAATGTCAGGAAAAAATGCTTCTGGAACATGGCCATACAACCCGGAAAACTCACAGCAACTCAGTGATTCCAGTCATGAAAGCCTTCGACAACACAGGGTGGTGTATGTTTCTCTAGTGATGTCCAAACCGAAAGGTCCCTTCTTAAATAACTAGAGCTCTGGATTTCTGACAAAGAAAGGAAGCCAATAGTCATGTTCTCAAGACTCATGAATAACTAACAACGGAAAGGGAAAGGGAACTCCAAACCTATATGTTTTCATACATTTAGGTCCTTTATGATACATTTTTAATTCAGCATTGAGCCTTGTTGGGTCCCCACCACCAATTCCTTAACAGTAATTCCAGGGGGCCTTCTTCTTGCCATGTGTAGACTGGTAATTGGTTTCCTCCCTTGTTTTTCTTATAATAAAAACAAAAATGTTATTCAAGTGCTTTAATGGCTTAACTTTTTCCTTTTTTGGAACTGAGTATGGACCTTGGTTCCTTAAAAATATCTTTAAAAATCCAAAACCATGAGAGCATATGGTTTTTAAATTACTTCCAGACCATGATAGAAAAAATGGGAAAAACTCCACTTCTTAAAAACAATACTTTTCAGACATGTTAAACACTCTGACTGGAAAATGTTAAACTAGTGATAGTACTGGCATTTGTACATGACCCACAAAAATATAGTTCTATAAAATATCAAAATAAAAATACCTAAAAATACATCTTAATCCTCCCGTTTTAGGAACATAAAATGTAAATTTAAAGTCTAGAAAAATAATGCCTTATAAAGAAAGAGCTATGAACAATCTGGCTTTTGAAACACAGATGTGGAAATCCAACCCAAAGTTATATGTTTTAGTCACTTGTTTCAAGGCGCTTAAGTGTGGCTGATAGTGTTGGATTATGACACATTTTCCTGGCAGAAGGGCTCACAAGGAGACAAGGCTTATCCTCACAGTATGCTCTTTGATTCCCTTTACAGGTCTTCCTTTTCTTCTTAAAGTTCCCTTTTTGTTATGTTTTAGAGGTTTCCAAAGTCAATGCAGGGAAAGGCTCAAATGGAAGACTCAAGGCCAGGTTTCAAGACAGGGATAGTTGAACTATGCATTTCATCATGTTCCTTCTGTCGCCGCCTGCACTCCCGCCACACTATGAAAGGGTTAACCAAAGCCAATAGCATTAAGATTATGAGGCCAATATTCACCTGAAAAGAAAGGAAATATTATCAAACTTCAAGTATGTATCTGACCCTGGGAAAATATACATATTTCCACAAGCACACAGAAGAGGAGATCTGGCTGGGTGACTGCCATTCAGATGGGCAATAGCACAAGGGAGCCCTTTCAATCCACTTCCCAACCAATCAGTGGCCAGTTGAATCAGATATGAAGCTCACCTGGTTGCCTTCTAGCAACCATTACACAGCTTGGGAAGCAGTACTTAAAAGGAGTTAGTTGAACAGATTTCAGGTTGCTCACAGATGTTTCAGAATTTGGGTTGAAAAGGCAAAGTCCAGGTCTAGTCAGGTGAAATTTCTGGGGTTCTCTATGATGTTACACCTTGAGCAATGTTCATCAGAGTCCTTATGCAAGCATAAACATTTGCCACCCAGTCTCCTGAGCTATTTGTAAACCACAAAGGTTGAGCAGGCACATAAGAGCCCATGAAAGAGAATGGAAAGCCTATGTTCCTGTCAATTGCATCCAGTAATCTGGAACTGGCAGAACACATAGGCCACTAAATTGCCAGATCTGACATAAATAGCAATGCTACAATTGCAACCCTTTAGTTTTGACTGGTCAACAAAGCAGAACCTTCTTCCTTGATGAATATCAGGCTACCATTCGTGTCACATCCCTGACTTCAAGGACTTCCCAATGCAGATTAAGATCCATAGCTGGCCACACACAGGCCTAGTTTGGTTCTGAGAATGGCTATGGCTGAGGTTATTTAAGTTTTTTATGTGCATATTCAATTTGGGACTTAGATACAGAAAAGCCTATAAGTGAAAAGGAGTGTGTTGAAATGAAATCTTAAATGTCCCAATTGTATTCCTAGAAGATATGAGTTCTGGTTCATCCTCCTCTGAATCCTGACAAATATTTGGGCAAAAGAGGGATTTTCAACAGTTATGTTCACAGAGTAGACAGCCTCTTGTTACCAAACTGCTCTCATGAACACACCTACTAAACGCCAGGTGTGCCATATCCCTTTCTACAGCTTATCACGTTTACTGGGCACATATTAATGTAAATGACTCCCGGGGGGGGGGGGGGAATAATTTGAACTGGTGGTTCTATTGCTATTATCCAGATTGAAACTGTTTTTCCTAAAACAAAGTAACCAATAATTCTAGTTAAGAACAGTTTGCATAGATTTCGCTTTGAAAATGTCTTGAATTCTAGTGAATGGTAAAGTAAGTTATACTTATTTTGCACAACTTGCCATTTGAATATAGATCTAGACACGTCTCCGTATTTTTGAATGTATATTTTCTGATTGTATATTAGATTGTTTGTGTCAAATAATTGATAAAATAATTAAAAATATTAATAATTTGAACTTCACTAGGTTTTTGCATAGGGTGGGCATCCTCTTTCAGCCCAAGGACCACATTCAATTTCAAAGACGTTGTCAGAGGCTTCATTCCAGAGGTGGACAAAAGCAAAAATGTCAGCATACATAAACTTAAAGTGCTTACTTACATTAAAAGAAGCCCTTCAAAATTTTATAATTGTGGAAATGTTCCATACAGAAGCTAGGAGACATCCAAATGCTGATTTCATGGAGAAAGGAATGTGCCTATCTGGAAGATTTGAACTCAGGGTCTGGGATTCCTCACTCCTGCCCTGTGCAGTATTGCCAAACCTCATTTCAACGTAATGAGCAGGATCCTTTTGGTGACACATACACATACCAGTCTCTTTTTGGATAAGACAAAGGGGTCCAGAAGATAAGGGGAGACAACTCAGATAATGAAGACACTGCTGCTCTCAGCTCCCAGGAGGAGGAAAAGGAGATTGCACTTCCATCCGTGAGTGCACCTTTGTGCCTTTCCTCCACCAAGCTGAGAATAACTGCCATTTCTTCCTGCCTCCATCCCATCCTTACCAATAAGCAGCAATTTCAGAGCTCTCTCCCTGGGCTTGACAGCTGCTCAGATGGAAGGAGCATTACCCTCCACCTGTTCAATGTTGGATCTCAGCTAGTAGATCCCCAACTGAGATAGTGACTGCTGCACAGTGAAAGAAACCCACTGGATTAAAAAACACTCACATAAAAGGGATCCTCTTTGAGTGGGCCCTTGATGAGCGAGAAAAAGGGATACTGTAGGAGAGAAACCACAGCCGAGAGTCCCATTATAAGACCATATAGCTTCCCGAAGTGTTCCAGAGGAAAGCTACAAAGACACACAACACAGAGAGAAAATAAATATTTATGGAAAAAGAGAAGTCCATTGCAAAAAGCCTTATGAACTGGCCTTTCTTTTTCCTTATCTTCACTGTAAACTGCCACTGCTCTGCTTCTTCTCCACTTCTTCTTTTTTAAAAAGAGAGATGCCTTTCTAAAGATGCTGCATCCCTTATCAGGTTAGAGAACAGTACAAACTGCTTGTTTGTTGCACCTGCATTAATATTTCATGATCCATGACAGTGGCAAATGTAGCATTCAATAGATTTAATTCACGGATTTGTATACAGAAAGGACTGCACCTAAAGTAATTTAACCAGGAATGAACCCTTAATCAGAACCCCCGCCAAACAAAACAAAACCAGAAAACCCACCACCATCCACAGCAGGTCTGCAAACCTACAATACTCTGCCTACTTTTATATGCATGTTTACACTGCAAATCAGAACCATTCAAAACCTGGATTAATGCCCCATCTAACTCAATCTTCTGCATTTGACAGAGACCAGACTCAAAAAATATGCAGAAAAAACAGCAGTTGTGCTACAAACTCTGGAAGATGCCTCTCAGTTTAAAGGAAGGACTCCTAAAACACTCCTAAAACAGAAAGAGTCTGGTGATGCTGCTGTACAAGGAATCTAAATACCTCTTCCTGCAAGATCCCTGGAGCAACTGCAATGATGCCAAAATATGCCACCAACAGGATTCGAGACTACATACCAACCCGCCCGCCCCCCATGCTTTTCAACCTTCTCTTTTTCTTTCTCTTTCCCCCTTTTTGCCAACAGACAGTTACTTACGCAATAGCCAAGAAAGCAGCATTGCCTCCATAGAGGAAAGAACGGCTCAGAACCTGCAAGATGAAGGTGGCATATTGTACGGACAGCACTGGAATGGAGGCACAGATTGAGAATGCAATGCACTGCAACACTGTGATGAGCAACGACAGCACACAGGAACGCAAGTCCGCAAGTGAATCTGGTACACCTGAAAGACAGATATTGACTCCAGCTGGAGAGAATGCAGAGTGAGATCAAGGGACCCCCAAAGCACCAGAGGGCAGTTTTACAAGAGAGACAATGCTTTACAAGGGAGACAAAGTTGACAGATTTTCATACCCTGGGAACTTCCCTGCTTTTTCTGTCCACGTTTGTGACGATCAAGAATAAGCCCATTCCAGGGGGCACAGAGGACTCCACATAACTGAGTGAAGGCAAAAGCATTGGTGTAGTGGCTCACTGTTGATAGAAAAAGAGGAATTAAAAACAAGAACAAAATCCCCACAAGGAGTCTTTCTCTATTATACCAGAATTTTCATATATATAACCCATGCTAGATATCTGTCTGAGGCTAGAAGGAACATTAAAATCTTTACTTCTTAGTACTCCAGTGGTTTTCCAGATTGAGGCAGCTTTTACTTCTCTTGACTGAGGTTCTTGTGTGCCTGGCTATAGGAACATAGACAGATGCTCTTCCGCTGGCTAATATATAGCTGTTTTGGAAGCTCTTATAAAAGTTTTGAGGGAGATGGGAGTTGCTGCCCAAAGGAAGGGTCAAATGCCTCCCTTCACAATGACAAATGCCAACATTAGGCTAGCATGTCACCCATAGGATCCCAGCCCTCTGTCTGCGTTTGAGAGATCCTTATGCTCCTGAGAAAGGTTTTTGCTGAAGAGCATGGTGTATTCAACTACAGCCTCAAAGTTAAGAAGAAATTAGATTTGTTCTTAAGTTGTATTTGTATGAAAGTTGGGACAGGTACATTTTTAAGTGCAACTATAGCCACACACACACACACACACACCTACACAAACTTTGGACAACATAGGGAAGGTTTAACACCCCTGTGATAGTTGTTTTGCTGTCTGTTTCACCTCACTTTCTGTCCCTGTGATAATTGCATTTTGAAATATTTGGCTTGTTGTTGAAACAAGGATTGGTGAGAAAGCTTCAGTGGAGCCTCCTTTTCCCCATGATAACTCTTCTAGGAGTGAATTTCCCTTTAAGGGGTAGATTTCTCTCACTTCATGTTGCCTCACCCCCATTCTTAACTTGTAAGTTGGATGTTTGTAACTCGGGGACTGCATGCATTTAGTTCTACATGTATATTCACAAAAAGACAGAGAACTAAAAATTGAACACATCATATTCTTTCAATACAGTCCTTTCTCAAAGGTCTAAGAATCTGACTTATTGAGTCAGGAAAGATCTCCCCTAACTATTTTCTCTCTCTCTGCACTCTTCTGTTCTGCTGTCCCAAACCCATTCATCTCAGTAATTCTTCCTCTATGCCTAAATTTGCTCATAGGTTCCATCCTCCTCTAAATCCATTACCACCTTCCTCCATGTCTAATTTTGCTTGTGGATTCTATTCTCTTCCTCCAACAAAGTCCCCACTTCCCCTGCCCTGGTTTCACTGTGCTTTACCATACCAAGAGTTGCATCTTTATCAGACAGCTGTATCAGCATCGGGTTGAGGGTTCCAATGAAGAGATAGTGGCGCAACTGCATCACTGACAGCCACATCAGATGCCAGAAAAACAATTGGGAGAAGACACAGCTCCAGAAGGAAACAACAGCTGGCTCCTTGGTGTTCAGTGTTGTTTCAGTATGACCTAAAAAGAAAGTTATAGATCAGATGGTGTATTTGCATTACTGTTACAGATATGAAGACACACCCACCACAATTATACTTTGCTACTGTTTCAGAAAATGCAAAAACAGGTTTACAGGAAAGAGACAGCCATCCTGCATCCCCAGGGCACCTAAGCCCAGACAGTGTGGGATAGTTGTTAAACAGCAACTTCCTGTTCCACTTAGGAACCAGCTGCAGCTACCTGGACAGGTCCTAACTTGGGTTCGGGGGAGGGGGGGGGGAGAGAGAGAGAAAGAGAGAGAGAATCCAAATCCTTCTTCAAGATCAGTTAGTTTAGTAAACCTGCATAAAGAGTTCCTGTGCAGCAGGTCCTAGCAAGTTATCTAAAACAGTGCCACTAACAGCGGTAGCCCATGAAATGGTGCCATTCCATAAGCCTTCATCCACCAATCTCTAGATAATTTTCAGGAAATAAACAAACAATTGTACAAATTGTAATACCGACCCTAGGCACATTGGGAGGAAAACCGATGGTCTTTCACATTATTGGCAAAATAATATAATATAGCTGAAAATACCCATCTAGAAAGACTAAGGTATTATCCCACATGGCAGTCCTGACAATAATAAAGATACACTAGTTAGAATCCCCAACTATATATGCTGCAAACTAGTCTCAGTATCTACCTTTAGTAGTGGCATTTTCTTCATTGAGTGCTGAGTCAAGATGCAAATTCCCTGAGTCCTGACCCTCATCCAGGCTACCGGGGCCACGTTTTTCTTCATAGGTACGATATGATTGAGATCTCCTCCGACAGCTCATCCTGAGACACAGGAAATATAACTCGCACTTGACTCCTGTTTCCAATACAAAGAGCTAAAGCAGGAGTGCTACAGATGAGCAGAGAATGGTATCTGAGTACAAGATGGATTCTAGCAATTATTTCAGATGATGTCACATAACAGGAAGATCACAAAGCCAAGTCAATAAAGTTCCCAAAACTTTCCATAAAACGCATAAATTATGAATATATATATATATATGGATTTGAAACTTTTTATGGATTTTTTTTTGCATAAAAAGGGAATGAGTGGATAATATTTGGATTTGACAGTTTGTAAATTTTGAATTTCAGGGATGTGTAAGATGTAGAAACATAAAGGGACAGGTTGAATTAGGCTTATAGCTGGTGAAAAAAACGGAAGTTATATTTAATGTTGTTTGTAAGTGTTGTGTTTTCTATGTATTTTCTATTGTATGTGTTATGTTTATTTAGCTTAGTGCAACATATAATAAAATTAAAACTAATTAAAAAGGAAAATCAAATTTACAAAAAAGGAGTCACAAGAAAGCGAAAACTCCAATGTTGCTATCTCTCATCACTAGAAGTAAGACTCAGATTATATTTGAATTGACACTTATTACTTTTTCTTCCTTAAATGTTTTGATTGTACACATAGATATATCTGGTAATGGTGAAATGGATAACTCACAAGATGTACTTCCTTTCTTTACATACTTCCTCATGAGGCAGATTTCACAAATCATAGTCTGACTTAGAGGCAAGCTACAAGTGGCACGCAAACAAGTCTAACTATAGCCACAGAAAGACAGACAAAGGAGGAGTTAGACTGGTGTTTTTAAAGATAGGGAAAAGAAAGGAGTTCAGATACATATCTGACAAGGTTACGGAGAAGTGCTGCTTACCCATATGTATATCCTGGGGGCAGTGGGTAAGGAATATGGCGACGGGGCATCAGGAAGAATGTCCGAACCAAGTGCCAGGCACTGCAGGCTGAGATGAAGAGGAACATGGTTCTCAGCGCAAGGCCCTGTTCGTACAGCAACTGTGGGCAAACACCAGACACCTGAGGTATCTTTGCTACCTTTTACTCTCTGGTCAATTTGCAATTATTACTGGAGTGCTTCAGGACCTCAACAGAGTAATAAAGACTCAATTCCCACTGCTACAGTTCACTCCCCACCTACTATAGTTTTTTTTTTATCAGTCCCCAGAATTTCTTTATTCTTTTTAAATGCTACATCTAATTTGGCCACCAAAGAATCAGAGGTGCTAGCAGCAACATCTTTGTTGCCTGCCGTTACAGTCACCATCCCAGTTGAAACTCCCTCCACACTAACTTTCCTTCTGTTTACTCCTTGAGAAAGCATTTTCCTACATCTTTCACCAAAAAAGCCTTTGGCAGAAGGGATGTCTTGGTCTTTGCTGCTCCATTACTCATTTTCAGGAAGAACCATAAAACCAAACACATGTTGCATCAGCAAATCACACCTTGATTTCCTGACTATGCAGAAAAAAATCACTGTAATATAACTCAAGGAAACTGAGTCATGAATTAAGGAAGCAACACCATGTCACATATATGCAGGACTAAGCCAAAGCTGGAAGAGAAACCTTGTGGGTTGACAAGTCTTCCACTTTTTAACCACAACTTTCTACTTGAAGTTATGCAACTATGGTTCATTCTCCCCAAGCTTTCATCATCCAAAATTTACTTTTTTGTAGTTCACATGAGTTCTCCCACCAAATCACAGCAGTCTTTTGGCTCAGTGCATAAATTGATAGTGTCAACAAAAATGCCTCCAAGATTCGTTGCATTACAGAAGGCTGCAATCATAAACAAAGCACAGACTTCTGCTGTGTACTGCAGCACTGGTGAAGAATGGTACTATGAATATCTCCAATAATCCATTCAGGAGGTTCTTGGGTCTATCAGCTTCATTAGAATGAGAAACAAAGTCACTTAGTAAATTAAAAGCAAAGGCTCCTTGTTGGGACCCTGACCAGAGACAGAATCCCAGGATGCCTTGCTAGGATCAATTAATAGAAATGGATAACTAACACCACTTGATCAGAGGCGATGTGATATGCATCCTGAGTTTGGAAGCATTTACTTTCTTGGACCACAACTCCCAGAATCCTCAGAAGTGCAGTTCATCCAGGCACTGGCTTTGCCAAGTTCCTCTGCTGCATGCCACCCTAATGAGTATGGAGAGCCACAAGTAAATTGACTCAGCCAATTCCTGGAAGGCTTATTCCAGGTTCTGGCTGATTCAACAATTGGCTTCAAGCCTTTTGCACCTTCCAGGTCAGAAAAAATAACAAAGGGAGAAACAGTATTGGTTATAGTCTTAAGGACTATTTCTTCGGGCTCCATCCTCTATTTTATTTATTTATTTATTTATTTATTTATTTCTCCGTTAAGACTGCTACTTGCCCTTCTTCTGGCCATAAAAATAGATAGAGGTATCTACTAGTACGTTTAACTGGGAAAAAGATATTTGTAGACCAGACTGTTTTTCCTCTCTGTCTAAAATAACTGCCAGTTCGGTACTTAAAAATAATGGTGATGATAGGTAGGATGAATGAGAAGTGATGTCTTGGATGTGCAGCCAACTACACTCATTTCCATGCCAAAGATAATGGAAGTTTTGATGGTTCTATGATCAGGGTGCTAACTTAGTGCATGTGAAAGACAGCAGCACTATCCAAGCACCCACCAATTGATAGTGACTGTGCTGACTGGAGGATTCTGGGTGTTGTAGTCTAAAAAAAAGTAGCCAGGAAATTCCACAACAAGAACAAAATAAAGAGCTTGTTGACTGGGAGGTGGGTTGTTTTTTGTTTTTGTTTTTTAAAAAATGGTAGCAAGTGTCCTTCTTTCTTGCTCTTTAGAAAACAGACACCAACCTTAATGACAAGAAATACAGCAGATGAAGAGTCAAAAGCCCCATTGTAGAGGGTAATGACAGTAGAACGATTTTTTCCAAATAGGTTCCCAACCTGGAGAAAGAATGTAAAGAGAGAGAATTTCGCATTTTAATTGCAAGTCTGGAAACATATCCCCCACATTTCACAGAGTGATTGTCTAGAAGCAATAAAACTGTATCTGATATGAATCTGTTGTTACACAAACAAAGCATTCTTTAAGAAGCAGGCCAGTCCCATCCCTGCCCTGAAGTCATGAAGGTTTTTCTCCCTTTCCCAGTTCCACCTCTCCCCTCAAAGAAGACTAGAGAGAGAAGAACATCTAACCTGCATGTTGGTGAGAATAAGCAGGATACCACCCACAGACAGAAAGGATAGTGCTGGAAATAGCATCACTGCAGTGGCTGCAAGGGAAGAAGAAAAGTATCAGTGGAAGGCCTGCCAAAGCCACAGGCCCACCATGCTCACATAATACAGACACAGATGGGCATCAACCCAACCTAATCAATTTCCTGTGCTTTGTATATGTGACACATATTGAAATGCCCAATACCAAAAAATGAGCCATATGCGTTGTTCATCTTTTATACAAATATGTCATACAAATATTCTGACTTACAAGGTTGTTGTAGGTTTTTCGGGCTGTATAGCCATGTTCTAGAAACATTCTCTTCTGACATTTCGCCTGCATCTATGGCAGGCAAAACGTCAGGAGAGAATGCTTCTAGAACATTGCCATACAGGCCAAAAAACCTACAACAACCCAGTGATGTCAGTCATGAAAGCCTTTGACAATACATTCTGACTTACAATTCTCCAATCATCACACTGATACAAAGCCCCCCCCCCCCCACGCCACCCAAGTGTAAAATCTGACATCACATTTCCCATATAACAGGAAAGAAAATAATTCATTCATTTTTGAAGCTATCTAGTAGGCCTGGGTAACAACGGAAAAATTTGTTTCTAAAATCGATTCGTTTTTTGTGGGTTTTTGCGTTTCGTTATTTAAAATAATTACAAAATTTTCCTTTAAAAAAGTTCGATATTTACGAAATTTCGTAAATGTGAAAAAATTACAAAACAATAACGAATCAATTTCCGAAACAATAACGAATCGATTCGTTAATGGCGGACGCGACCGCGAAATACGCTAAAAAACCTCCAAAACCTTCTGAAGCTTCCCTCTCCCTCTGTTGTTGACTGTTGGTGTGATATTATAATTTTTTTTCACTAATTAAACCATAAAACTGGCCCAGACATGCGGAAATAATAACGAAACGACCTCAAAACAATAACGAAATGAATACAATATTGAAATACGAAGCATTTACAAAACGTTTTTGAAAATTCGTTTTTTTTAATAATTGCTCCAGAATGGTTCGTTATCGTTTTGTAATTGAAAAAATTAACGAATTATTAACGAATTACGAATTAACGAAACGAAACCGCCCAGCCCTACTATCTAGGGATTAGCCCAGGATGCCAGCCAGGGATGTGTTATTCCTTTTTTTATCCCAGTGGTTACAAATGGCCTGCACATTTGTAACCACTTTCCTCAACCTGACATCCTCCAACGGCTCTGTAGTAACTCCCAAAAATCTTAAAGCATGGACTGACATTGATGGGAATTGAAGTGCAATACATCTGTAAGGAAATTGAGGAAGACCTGTCTAAAGGATCTAGCAGCACACAGGAAGTAACTAACAGTCTTCCAAAAGGGAATATGGAGGAAAGAAAGAAAACTTCCTCCTTGCCATTGAGAGGCATATTACACATATATCATAGAGTTTCAGTCCAACAAACTATGGCACACTGGCTTCATTACATAAAAAATGTACATGCTCTATTTATTAAATTTATATGAAATTCATTTATACAACTGATAGTGTTTTCACACATCCACAGACACAATAAGCCATTCAGACAAAGCTCCCTGTTCACATCAGAATGATCTGAACGACAGCGGCTGGTTTGGCCATTCAGGCTGGCACAATTCAGCTCAACTGCTCCCACCAAAAAAACTTCATGCCTAACTGGTATGTTTGTTTTGAAAGTCTGGATATCCCTCCTTTATTCTTTCAAATGTTTCTGATGCCAATGCCCAGAAAGTCCCCATCAGCATGGCCAATGATGAAAAACTCTAGATGTCCCAAAGCAAAACATCTGGAGATCCAAAGAGTCCTCTTCCTGGAAGTAAAATGAAGCAGATAGCAACAAAAAGGCTGGGGTCTTACCCTTTTGGTAACAGAATATATGAATATTAGGTCCTTGACCTTTATATGATGCCTATCCACATTTGTTTGCTGTTAAATATACAAGACCCTTCCCCTGACTTGCAGCTAATATTCTGAACTTTGCACAGAATGCAAGTGGGAAAAGGTAAGTCTCTAAAAACTATGTTGAATGATACCTGCTGACTCTATTTCTAGATTCTATTATCTTCATAAAGAAGGCAGACCACTCACCTGCTGTAGAAAATGCAATGAGAAGGGTGCCAGAGGTGTAGGCAGATCTGGAAGACAAAGAGATCCCTTCCCCTGAGTTACTAAATAGGCAATTGGTTGTGGGCACATAACTAGGCAGATGAATTAATTTGTCTTTTCAGTTCCCATCAGACACACTAAGCACTTTCCCTTTCTTTTTTTCTTTTTCGGAGCAAATGGGTAGGCAGATGTGGGAACTATGCGCAATACAGCAGAAGACAGGCATCAATATGAGAAAATCTGGAATTGAAGGAAGAGATGGGGGAAACTGAGAATAAAGAAAAAAGAGAACTGTGCTGAGGAAGAGGAGGGGAAGGGCAGAGAGTAGAGAAAATAATCAAACAGAGCAGAGGAAATAAAACTGTCTTTTAAAAATGGGCTCAGATCCTGTCAGGCTTATTAATATATTTATTTAAAGCCTCAGATCTCATTCCATACTAAACTACATGCAAGAAAGAATACTTGCAGATGTAAAGGAAAATAACACCTGCTGGAGATGCCAATTAATTTGGGGATCACAACATACTTCATGTGCTCCCCTGCTGTAATCGAGAGAAATAGCTCTCTGTATTGAAACTTCTATTTATACTGGGAGAATAAAACCTCTTTCAAACCATTGAGAAATTTCTTTCCAATAAAAAGCTTCAGAGGAAGAATATTCTTGGGGGGGGGGATGATTAAACTCCTCCTTCCCAAAAAGGCTGTTGTGATCTCAATGAACAATCCTCTCTCACACCTGACATTATTTGTATTTTGTATGCTCTAAGTTCATAGCTACTTTAGCTCTTATTTCAAAGGGTCATTTGAGAACTCTCCCAATAAATTTGGCTAAACTTTATATAGGTCAGTTGCAAACCTTCTTCGAATGGTAATCCAATTTCCATTATATTACTTGGATAAAGTTATATTTTGAAATATGGTATTTGCGCTTAATAATGCCAGTATCCTGCAGAAATTGGCTTTGGAAGATAACAGACTGAATTTCAACTCTCAGCCCCCTTCCACACAGCTGTATAAAATCCCACATTATCTGCTTTGAACTGGGTTATATGGCCGTGTGGCATCAGATAACCCAGTTCATAGTAGATATTGTGGATTATCTGCCTTGATATTTTTGGTTATGTAGCTGTGTGGAAGGGCCCTCAGTTATTCTTAGGCCCCTTCCACACAGCTGAATAAAATCCCACATTTTCTATTTTGAACTAGAATATGGGGAAGTTTCTGTCAATTCCCCAGGAAAGAAATCAGTAAGCAACGCTGGGTGCTTGGTCCCCTGTAGGCATAACAGTAGAGCGGAGCTGGAGAATACTTTGGCAATGTGACTGGGAGCAAAGCAGTTGCTAATCAATCTAATAGGCTGAAGTTGGGCAAAAACCACATGCAGCATCAATGGGAGTTTCATTTGCAGTTACTTGCTTGGCTTCCACCTCTATTCTCAGCTAGACAGAAAATCTTCCTGGCTTAATTTGGCTAGCTGGATATTGGGAGTATTTCTACACCATACTCTTCACTTAGCATTTTCTGGAAATTGAACGGACTGGCTTCACACACTTGCCTTCTTCCAGGTTCGCTCTGTCTTGTGCTGGTTGGCTACAAAATGGAAGGGGAGTTAAGTTAACCTCTTTCATTGCCAGGTGACACATCTGCTTCATCACTCTTCTTTTCCTACTTGTGAATGTTGGCAGAGCTCCTGGGAAAACAAGGGAACTTTATCCCTGCATTTTCTAACCTGTCTCCTTTCCCACCCAGCTCTAACCTTTTGTTTATAATTTAATAATAAAAAGCTGCAGTGCAATGGATGGGATCCAGCTAAAGGAAAACACTTTTTAAGCACCACACTTCAATGAGAGACTGTGCAACTGCAAATGCTTGACCCTCCTTTAAGTATCAAAGGAACTGACTTTTGCTGAGGTTTGTGGATGTGCGCAAAAAAACAAAATGTGATTAAAATTATTCCAAAAGAGATGCTAACTTCTGATTTTAATTTCATTTCATTTTAAATTGCTAACTATATAAGGTGTATTGATTAGCACTGGTCTCTGAAAATATTGGCTGGAATCCTGTTGTGTTAAAAATGCATTATTGTCACAGATATAGTGCTACACAGTGACTCCCAACCTGATCTCCCCAGTGTCCACTTACTAAGCAGCAACCACTTATATTGATGGTGGTCTATTCGCCTGTTGATCAGGAAGCAGCTGAAATTCCAATCTATAGTGCAACAGGCAGAAACAAAAACCCTGTCACAATTTCCCTTCTGCACAATGGAGATTGGGACTGTCAGTCAGCTGCTTCCCAGAGGAACAGACCCATATCAATCACAGTGGCTGCTACCTAGTATGTGGGAACTGGGAGAGTTTTGCAGCCCCTTTATATCACTAAATTTGTGAATAATTTGCAGGCATTTAAGTTGCCTGGGGAGAGAAAGTATATTTGTGCAACACAATGTATAATTGGGTTAGATATCTTTTAAAAGGTTAGAAAAGTTTGGGTCACTCACTAAAAGCCTGTAATGACTGAGCCCTTCAGCTATTGGATCTATATAGACATGTAATAATCAACACAAATTCATCACACTTGCCATATATTTCATGTATTTTTCAACTGTGCTAGTACAGTGATGATACAGCTTCTCCACTGCACAAGAAGCTAGGATGAAGTATCCGGAGCCAACAGCTATGCTCATGATTTTGGATCAGTTTGGTGGAGCTCTGACCCTCTGTCCCTCCACTATAGCCTCTGGGGAGACAAAACAAGAACACTGCCCTCAGATAAAAATTGTGCCTTTCCAGTAACTCACTCTTAGCAAATGCTAGGAATTTGGTGACTAAAATGTCACTGAGGGAGAGGACCTAATTCTTTTCTGGAAGAGTAACACCCAAATTTTGCTCCCTCTGTTGCAACACCCCTGCAATCATGTCCAAATATTCCTCTGGCTGGTACACACACACACACACCACTGTTATTTACAGATCACAAAACCTATGTTTCCTGGAAACATTTTGTACTCCCTAAACCTAAAACTTCCTAGACCAAAAACTGTATGTTCTTTAATCAAATATTTCAATCTCACTGTTATCACCATCCAGTTCAGAGTGTTTCCTGGTGTGCCAGTCATTCCAGACAAAATGCTTATTACATTTGTTTTAGAATCGGCTGTGTACAACCTGTTGGGAAATTATTTTTATTTGGTATTTTGTTATTATATGTTTACAGTTACATTTTGGAAAGTTAACTATATTATCACTGCACAACACAGCAATCAAGGCACAGTATTATTTAAACAGCAATTAAAATGCAGTTTCAGTAGTTGGCTATAAAAGTGCATATTAAAATCTACCATACTAAGCAAGGAATTTGAAATAAACATTCTCTGTTTACCTTTTCTTGAACATGGCCAGAAGAGAGAATTTCAGCAGGTGAAGTTTGCTTGAAAAGTTACACCTGTTCAAACTCCCTCTTCAACTAATTCTGAGAGGTACAAGAAACCTGCCTTCTTTGGTATGTGCCCCTCCACTGAGCAGAAATATATTTGGTTCTGGCTCTAGTGAATGCTGGAAAGCTGGTCCAGTCAGATTTTCCTTGATACAATATGACCCCACTGTGTGAATGCTGAGGTGGGCAATTCCAGGAGGGAAATGTTTGCACAAGTCATGGGAGTTTGTTATGTGACTGCTAAAAGGGGTGGGAGGAGAGAACCCCAATCTGCCTCCTCAGCATGTGCCCTCCTGCATATGGTTAATCAGTCCACTACTCACATGAGTTGCATGACTTTGCCCACCACATTAATACTCTGGGTCAATTAAGGAACTCAAATATGCAGTCGCAGCAACTATCAGCTTCCTGTGCTGCAGTAACAGGAACCTTTGGAGCAACAATGGCATCGATAGCAGGCTTCTTTCACAGAATTGTGACCAGACCCTTTTCTGATACAATTCAGTTTGGTTGACCAAAGGACTTGGACCCATTCTGCAAACATAAATCCCACTCACTCTCTGCTCCTTATTCCTGGTTGATCATAATAAAAACCTCAAAATGGAGAAAGTGGACCAGATTCACAGTAACTTACAGAGACACTAGAATAACTGGGATTCAGTGACCTCCTTTTCCTCCAGGACTACAGTCAGAGCAATGCATTTGATTCATAATTACTAAGGGAGGCTGGCTTCAAAAATGCATTCTTCACACAGAGGCACTGTTTGTGATCATAGCTTTTGGCAGTTAATTTTAGCCCCAATTATTGCACAAGTTTGTCTGTTCTGGAATGATTGCCAATCATTTCCTTGGTGATCTTTGGGCTCTAGAACTGGATGTTACATGGTGGGGCACAGGGACAGTGCTTCTCTCTGCCTGGTTTGTTTACACATGCAGACTTTTTAATCCTCTAAATATGCTTCTCTTATGTTTTCCCCCTTAAAACTAAAAAAAGAAAAGCAAATCCCAAACAATGCAGCCATTCTGCATGGGAAAGATATAGATAGTTTCTGCCCTGAGGATCCTCATTCCAAAATGCCAAATATCGAGAGAAGGAGAATACTGGAAGTGGACACATATCCACTTTTGATTTTGAGGGGTGTGTGTGTGTATTCTGCTGGGATTACAGAAAAAATGTTACTCCTGGAGATTTCCAAGAGCAAAAAAGCAGGTTTCTTGGGCCTCCCTTCATTCCCCCCTCCCCCCCGAAGGATTGGGGACCTCAGAACGTGGACTACACTTTGGTCACCCTTTCTTAGTTGGTTCATCCCCTTGGCCTTTTGTATTCCTTCTTTCTGCACCTCCCCCCTTTTTTGTTTTAAATATGAAACATCTTCAACTCAATATCATTCTCAGTTTATCCACACCACAGATTTGTAGAAGGACAATGTTTATTTTACACGCATTCATTTGGATTTGGATGTGAGGAAGGGAGAGACAATAATAGAAAACAATTTTCCTCTTTTGCTTTAGCTTTTTGTATAATGAACAGCAAATTTTGGCATGGCATTTCATTACTATTCTGCCTCTATCACCTATCAACAATTTGGGATCAAACATAAAAAGCCAGGGAAGATTGTGCAATGAATGAACTCTAGTTTTCAGAACCATAAAGTTCTGCATTGTACAGAAGCTCTGGAGTTTTAACTGCCTATGTTTTCCTTTAAAATAACAATGTTATTATTTTTCTAAATACACTAAAGGCACCAGATCCTGTCTGAACTTGGAACCTAAAGAGGGTCAGATCAGGTTTATACTAGGATGGAAAAACAGCAATGGCAATGGGCTACTACATACATTCTCACAGAGGAAGAAACTGATGAGATGACCTCTGACGATCTCTTGCCTAAGAAAACTCTATGAAATTTGTGGAGTCACTGTAAGTCGACAGGTGATTTGAAGGCGCACACACTCGCACACAAAATGTAATTATTAATATAACAAACTAATGATTTCCACTAACAATGTTAATATTTATTCCTTGGAGCACACTAAGAATTTCTGAAATCAATTATTTTTAAAAGCTCAGTGCAAGGAGAAGTATGATCTTTGAAACTTTTATCTGCTACCACCAAGTCAAAATGGCAGTGTTCTCTTATGTACCTTGTCCCTCATTGTGGACGGAGAGTTCCTAATAATTTAAAATAATCTGCCAGCTTCCAAGCTCAGGACATAATTGGCATTATAGATTTTATTTCAGACTGAAAATATTATGTTTGTACTAGTCACACATTCAGGCTGAACAATGAATAAACAATTGTGGAAATAAGTGCAGTTTTGCAGGACCGAGCAGTAGATGCCCTTGGGGCACATTGCTAGAGTTTGCCAAGTGCAGCCAGGTTAAAATTTAAAAGGCAATGGTCCCCCCTTCCCCCACACAACATCTAAATTCAATGTAAGCAACAATTCTGATTTAGTTCCAAAAGCCCATCCATGCTGCACTTAGTACATATCACTGGAAGTCACAGCCAAACACTTCAGTCCAAAGTCAGAAGTCACCCAATGAAATGTCCACAACTGGTGTAGCCTGAAAAGCTATGTGAATAGCTCTCTCAGAACTTGAGACAACTTCCCATTGCTGTTACACTCCAAGAAAACCCAATGGATGTCTGCTTTATCCCCCTGTCACCATACACTCCTGACCTGTCAGTTCCTTTTGCTACCCCTAATATTTTACCATTTTCAATTTCCTGGACATACTAATAAAAGCAAAGATATACAAGTATGTCTCTTCAATTCAAGAGCTCTGAAGAGAGATCTCACGGCTTATAAACAGCACTGTGGAAAGGCCTCATGAGAAATTGGCAGCAATTTCTACCTCCTTTGGGTGCAGCTCCTGCTGACTGTGGTGGCAAGCTGTGTGTGAGGGGAATATGAAGAATGGTATTAAGTCAAGATGAACTTCCCAGCACTCTGGGCCATATGGAGACAGGCTGCATTGTCAGAGATAACAGGCTTTTATCGCTCCAAAAGTCTGGCAACTCTGATAGACTGGGAGGAGAAAAGAAAAGGAGACAGAAAGAGGAATGGGGAAAATGCAGAGGAAGATGTCTGTACATCACAGTTTCCTTCCCAGGGACTTTGCATATCCCTTCCACACATAAAATGAATGAGGTCTGTTGACACATGCAAGCATTGACTGGACCACTTCGGACTGCAGGAAGGTAATAATACTTTGGGAAGTATCCCCTGAAAACTAGCCCTGCATGGGGAAGATCTGCTAGAAATCTTCTCTATAATGTGCTATATTTCTGCTGCCTGATTGTTTTTCATGGAAATATAATGAAATGTGGTGTGCCCTGTTTGCATTCCGTTCCACTATTTGCAGACCCGGCACAAGGTTACTCAGAGAAAACACCCTCTACAGGTGCTTTTCATCAAAGTGTTACCTCTCTCTTCAGATCCTGTATCAGCTTGCAGTGGCAATTCATAAACTTATTTGGCCTACTGCCCCCTTTTCTGGAAAGAAAACTCAGCCCCTCCCGAAATCCACCTTTTTTAAGCAAACAGATACAGTAACAAATGTGCATTCTTTTATATATTTACATTTCTACCTACATCCTTTATTTAACAATTTAATAATGAAACTTTTAAATACTTATTGCTTTTGCACTATTATTAGCTACTTGTAACACAATTCAGAAGCAATCTAAATTAGATTTCACACATACCGCTTTTTTATAGTATTGTATTTTAAACATCACACACATATTCCTGCAAATGGATGCTGGACATGCTCACCTGCCAACTCTTTGTTAAGACCTGTTCATGGACTTGGCCATTGATTGGTTATAACTCGCATTTTGTGTACTCATTTGCAAAATAAAGTAATCACTATTTACTTTTCATCTATGTTACACAAAATAGAAGAAACATGTACGAACAATGCCTCAAATTTGTCTTTTCTCCTTTCTTTATGTTTCCACTTCCCCCTTATTTTATTCAACACTGCCCCCCCCCCCAGCTTCAATTGCACCCAAGGCTACTACCAGCCCCTGGATCATTCTATTACCCACCAAGGGGCAATATCCCACACTTTAGGAACCTCTAGAGCAGGGGTCCACAAACTTTTTAAGCAGAGGGCCAGGTCACAGTCCCTCAAACTGTTGGTGGGCCAGATTATAATTAGAAAAAAATACGAATGAATTCCTATGCACACTGCACATATCTTATTTATAGTGCAAAAACATTTTAAAAACAATACAATAATGAAAATTAAGAATAATTTTAACAAATATATTTGTATTGGTATTTCAATGGAAAGTGTGGGCCTGCTTTTGGCTGATGAGATAGGATTGTTGTTGTTATTGTGTGCTTTCAAATAGTTTCATACTTAGGTTGACCCTGAGCGAGGGCCAGGTAAATGACCTTGAAGGGCCGCATCCGGCCCCCGGGCCTTAGTTTGAGGACCCCTGCTCTAGAGCAAGGTTGGACTTGGACTGTAACTCCTTTGCAGAATCATTGGACTATAACTTCCAGAAGTCTTAGCCAAGATATCACACAGTGAGCAATGCCAAGTTGTAGTTTGGCAACATCTGGAGGATGCTCCCTGCCCCTGGTAGAGTGGCTGCTCTTCAACTGATCAGCCACTACATGGAAGGATGAAATTTAAACAGATCAAAATTCCTCTTTCCCAGTGCTGCAGCAATGGAAAAATCTACACTGCCAATTTTTTTCCAGTGATGCAGCAAATAAAAACACAATTTGCAGCAGCCCTATTTTTGTTCTACATGAACAGAGAGCTCCAAAAAAGAAAACAGGGAAGGCATTGTGCATCCAGAACTTACATGGCAAGCAAGCGAGCGACAGTGGTGCCAAAGCGGTCAAAGATGTAGCCTGTGGGGAAGGTCATAAAATTGTTCATGAAGGAGCCAATGGTGAAGATGAGGGAGAGCTGTTCATCCTGGGCACTGCAGTCTGCAAAGAAAGAAGGTTTTTAAACACAGTCCCTAATGCCTGCTGTGCAGAGATCCTTAGTTCTCAATATCTGACATTTTATTTTCTACAGAGCTTGGAAAAGTCCTTCGACATAACGTAATTGGTTACATAATGCATTTCAAAAAGCCTCCCCACTACCATTACGTATACTTTCCATTACAGACAGTGTTGTGCTGTTTACATGTTCATTGCATTTTTCCAGTAATTGTAAAAAGAGTCCTTAGAATTAATAAGGCAATGACATAAAACTTGAAAAATGCTACCTGAAATACCATTAAAAATGTCTTTTGAAAGTAACTTAAAAATAACTGGATAGTATTATCTAATGCAGTCTGGGGTGATCCTGGACTCATTACTAACACATATGTTTCCTCTCATAATATTACTTTTGAAATGTAACTTTGTTACACCCTCATTGGGTATGCATGCACACTCATAGAATCATAGAATCATAGAATCAAAGAGTTGGAAGGGACCTCATGGGCCATCCAGTCCAACCCCCTCCCAAGAAGCAGGAATATTGCATTCAAATCACCCCTGACAGATGGCTATCCAGCCCCTGTTTAAAAGCTTCCAAAGAAGGAGCCTCCACCACACTCCGGGGCAGAGAGTTCCACTGCTGAACGGCTCTCACAGTCAGAAAGTTCTTCCTCATGTTCAGATGGAATCTCCTTTCTTGTAGTTTGAAGCCATTGTTCCGCGTCCTAGTCTCACTCATACACATATACACCAAAGGATCAGTACTTATGTTAATTCTCGTGCTGGCTCAAACCATCTTGGACATTTCACAATTTCCTACCTGGAAGCCTTATAACTTTCATGTCAGTAGTGCTGATACTGGATTGAATTTTTTTAACAGTAATGAAAGTGCATTTCTGTTTACATTCAGAAGAACTCTCACCTAGGAGTTCCAGGGCTGAGCCTAGCATGGATAGCCTAGCATACCTATGGGTTGGCAAGACTGAAAACCTTGTTAATCTTCTATCCTGGAAAAAGCAGGGAGCTAACTTTCTCTTTATGTCTCAGAACATTGTTACACCAGTCTTTGAATGTCTACAGTCCTTCTTCATGCAGACAAAGAAAGCTCCGTAATTATTTGCACACAAATGGCAAAGGCACGTGCAGGAGTGCTTCCAGGGGAGTACGCCAGCTGGGTAAAAAGAGGCTTCAGTCTACCATTCAATATTTTGGTCCCCCCTTTTTTTTCAAGCAGATGATGATCCACCTCCTGCCATTTCAAGCCACATGGGGAAGTTAGTACTTCTCTAATTAACTGCTCACACGGAAGTGACAAACCTCCACAGTGAAGCCTAACCACAGATGTCACTCAGGATAAAGAATGGCCTACATCAGCTGTTCCTGGAAAATATCCTGTGACAAACAGCTGTGCAGAGACTCCTGTGATAACACTGGACCAGCTGACAGCTTTTTGCACCCAGTAGTTCCTGTATACCCTTGAGCCTGTTCCACCTTTCTCCCTACATAGCCCCCTAAGGCAGGCCTACCATAATATGATAACAGATAAGCTAAATGTATCCCACCAGCCAAGGTCCACTTGGATCCTTAAAGCTCACTGGGTTCTTTCACCTGCCTTGGAATACCAAAAACAAAACATTATGACAAGTTTGGTAGGCAGCAATGCAGGTTTGGTGGATAGTGTTTGGCTGAGGGAGATTATGAATTCTGCCATCCTGCTACATGAATGTTTGCATGAAATCCAAGGTGTATTTCTATCCCAACTAAACCCTCTCTCTCCATTATTCTCCCTGATCATACCTGTTTGATTGGTTGTTTGATTGGCAGCAGACATACACAGATCCTCAAAGTAGTGCAAGTCCTTGAGGACAAAGACCAACGATGCCCATCCAAAGATGACACCGGCAAAGCACATGCACTCCAGCAGACCTGAGATAAACGTGGCCAGGCGTTTGGCCATTCCTGAACCCTTGGGCTCCATGGCATCTAGGGCACTTCCCTCCTGATTCTGAGGCAATTCGTTTTCGGAACCTGTAGTCATAAGGGAGAAAATGCAGAGTCAACAAAGCTACATTTTATCAGCAGACTTTTCCACATTTAATAACTCACATACCAGTACTTCTGAGTGGAACATGGTGGGCTTTTTAAACCAGTGGTTCCCAACCTTTGGGCCTCCAGGTGTTTTGGACTTCAGCTTCCATAGTTCCTAACAGCTGGTAAAATGGCTGGGATTTCTAGGTGTTGAAGTCCAAAAAACCCACTGTTTTAAACAGAAGGGATTTCTTTCCAGCATGGCAATGGCACACATTTGCATCTGTGTTGGAAACATCTGGGGCATTGAGAAACCAGAGCTCTGTATTTGATAGAGCATTTTCTGTTTTTCTTTTTTCTTTTTAAAGGATGAGTACCAGAATCCCCTGCAGCCAGCAAGCCCAGTGGCATTTTGGAAGCCAAAGTCCAAAAGCGTAATGCTTTCAAAGTCTGCTTATCTGCTTATCTGTGGAACTTTCATCTAGAACCATAGAATTACAGTGGTAGTTCATGCACCAGTACCTACCCACAAGCTACCAGTCTACAGAAAAAATCTATGAAAAAATGAAATGAAATGAATGTAGTCAGTGGACACAGACACGGTGTCAGTCCTTGACATATTGAGGGAAGAAGAGGGTGCTTTGAAAGCAATTTTCCTGCTTCTTGGCAGGGGGTTGGACTGGATGTCCCATGAGGTCTCTTCCAACTCTATGATTCTATGAAATTCACTCCTGAAACAGTTACCATGGGGGGAAAGTGTCTCAAATGAAGCTTTATCACCAATCCTTGTTTCCACAAAAAGACACATTTTTCAAAATTAGTATATATATTTGGCTGGAGTTACACTTAAAAAATGTGTCTGTTCAATTCAAAATGTACCTCATTAAACTTAAAAACAAACCTACAGAACCTAACTAGTTCATAACTTGGAGACTGCCTGTACTTCTTTATTTCTAACCATAGAAGTAAAGATGAATCATGATTGTTGTTTTATACTTTTAATTTATACCAACTTATAGTAACCGTAAGGTGATATTATTCCAAGCCCCTTGTCTAGATTTGTCCTTGGTAAATCTATTCAAAAGAAGTTTTTCGTTGCCATTTTGCAAAGGCCACCCACAAAAACCCAGTAGGTTTCCATGGCTGAATGAGGAATTGAACCCCAGTTTACCAGAATCTTAGCACAATACTCAAACCACTATACTACACTGATTCAATCCCAAGAGGTATCCTTATTGGATTTGATCCTCTTTAATCCTGCAGTGAGATGAATCAATATGAAATATATTTATTTCTCCAAAGCCATCTGATAACACTCAAGGCAGGGTGAGAGGGATAGGGACCATAGCCAGACTAAACACTTGGGCTACCAGACCATATACAACAGCACACCAAAAAAGTCCTCTTAAGGCAATGACTTACTATAAGGTTCCTACACATGACATGCTGCTCAATGGTAGGTTGGTGGTTTTCCCTACTAGGTTGAGGAACCTTGTTACTTGAGATGCCAGATCTGACTATGGTGGTACATGCCTTAGTTACATCTTGTTTGGATTACTGTAGCACTCTCTGCTTGGGGCTGCCTCTGAAGCTTTACTTGGGGCCCTTCCACACAGCCCTACATCCCAAAATATCAAGGCAGAAAATCTCACATTATCTGAGTGTGGACTCAGATAACCCAGTTCAAAGCAGATATTGAGGGATTTTCTGCCTTGATATTCTGGGATATATATGGCTGTATGGAAGGGTCCTTGGTCCATACGGCTTTAGCAAGATTGTTGATTAGTGTTGATTACGAGAATCACACAATTCCCTTGTTGTAACAGTTTCATTGGCTGCCAGTCTGTTTCTGGGCACAATTCAAAGTGCTGTTTATGACCTATAAAGCCCTGTATGGCTCAGGTCCAGACTGCTTGGGAGACTGTGGGCCCTTCCACACAGCCATATAACCCAGAATATCAAGATAGAAAATCCCATAATATCTGCTTTGAACTGTTTATCTGAGTCCACACTGCCATATATTCCAGTTCAAAGCATAAAATGTAGGATTTTATTCAGCTGTGTAGAAGGGGCCTTGTTAAAACCAGCCCATGTTCTGAAGTCATCAAGAGAGGGCCTTCTCTCAGTTTCACCACTGTCAAAAGTACAGCTGATGGGGTACRAAAGTGGATCTTCTAAATGGTTGCCCCAAGGATCTGGAACACCCTTCCTATAGAGTCCAGAACAACCTRTCCCTATTGTTCTTCTGGCTGCAGGCTAGTATCTTCTTGGTCAGACAGCCTTTGAAAATACAGAGTTTTGAAAGAACGGCCTGTCCGGGGGGGGGGGGGGGCTACATTGTTTTAAGTGGAACTATTTTAACAGTACGTATGTATTTTCACATTGCATTTTAACTGAATTGTTTTAACAATTGTATTCGATAAATTCTATTTTAATATTTACTTTTTATATGTTTTAATTCTACTGCTTTTTATGTTGAGTGAATTTGGGTCCCAATTCTGAGGAAATATTGTAATTATCATCATCGTGAGATATGCAACTATACAGTCACCACTCAGAATAAAATACACGTGCTGCATGCTTTTATTCCTTTTCTGAAGAAGTGCTTTGTATGAGAAAATGATTAGACCATCAGGTAGCAACACAACCAGACTCCTCTGTTTGGAGACATCAAACAGAGCATGAATTTTATATATTTCAAACTAGGAAAAACAATAATACAGTAACAGCTCCAATTACAGCTGCAATGTGTCTATATGGCACATACTGCTTCTCTACCAAGTAAACCCAGGCTGAAAAAAATAGACCCTTCACTCTGAGGAATATATATGAGATTATAAGATATATAATGGAGAGAGAAAAGAGTATGGCAAGGGCAAGAAACCATGAATATAGCCTGTGTAGTTACACGTGATAATTCATTACACAAATGATGGCTGCTAAACAGGAATGCGCCCTCTCAAACTCCCTCCAATGTTCACAGATTCACATCCAATGTTCACAGATTCACATCCCACCATCTGCTCAGCTTAAGATACCCAACTTTCCGTCAATCACCTATCCTCCTGCTTGACATGTGCCTGTGCCACCATTTACCCCCTCACTAAGTATCTATGCCTCCACCATCATCCTATCTTTCGCTGGCAAGCTCGTCACCATGGTATTTCTCCAGCATGGTAGAATATGCAGAGTGTGAGGTTTTGTCTTTAGTTATTGTGGTGGGTCGTAGATGGATAGATAGTCAGGGGCCTCTCTCTGTGTGTTATGTGTATGTGTGTGTTTGTAGAGGGGTATGTTGGATTGTATAACCTTCCTAGCTACAGCTTTGTCTGTGAATCATTAATCACACATTCTTTTAATAAAAGCCTGTTCTCTCTCAGCTGTGGGTGGTGGTAAATGTTAAAAATAATGTTCTGCATTTCTGGGCCCCGTTCAATACCCAACCATTCCAACATGTTCCATTTGTATTAACTATCCCAAGTCCAGCCTCAACGGCTGGTAAACAAACATTGTCAGCTGTCAATCACTTAGATGGGAGCTGGGGACCAGCTTCACAAGCTCTTGGTTTCTCACTCTCTCACCTCAAACACAACCTCAAGATTTTTATATGCTACAAAGGGTATGACCATGCTGAGTGGGGTTGTGGGTGTGAGGGATCAGACCATATCACCTTTTGAGAACTGAACTATAGGTTTAGTCCAAGCTAGACAAAAGCTCAATCTTCTACTGGAAATGTGGAGTGAAGCAAGTAGGAAGCTCAAATATAACATCAAGATTTTTATCTGCTACAAACATTGGAGCCCCAGGTGGCACAGTTGGTTAAACCGCTGAGCTGCTGGATGGTCACAGGTTCAAATCTGGGGACCGAAAGGTTGCAGGATCTAATCTGGGGAGTGGCATGAGCTCCCGCTGTTGGCCCCAGCTTATGCCAACCTAGCAATTCAAAAACATGCAAATGTGAGCAGATCAATTGGTACCGCTCTGGCGGGAAGGTAATGGTACTCCATGCAGTCATGCCGGCCACCTGACCTGGGAGATGTCTATGGACAATGCTGGCTCTTAGGCTTAGAAATGAAGATGAGCACCAACTCCCAGAGTCAGACACAACTGGACTTAATGTCAGGGGGAAACTTTTATCTTTACCTTTACCTACAAACATTGGAAGCAACCTGGATGGTGTTTAGGGGGTGGATCAGAACCACACCCCCTTTTTGAAAGTAAACCATAGGTTTTTTTTCTGAAATCAGAAAGAAATTATCCAAACTATATAAATATCCAGTCTTCTAATGGCAATCTAGAGTGAATCAAGGAGGAGGAAACTAACAAATATGATCTTCCCCATATCCACTCCACTCATTTCAAATGAAAAGCTTTCCCTCTCCTATTTGATTCTCCTCATTTCTCTATCCACAGGTCGAATCCCATGATCCTCCAGGTGTTGGTGGACAGCTAATACAATAACAAGGGATGCTGGTAGTTGTATTCTTATTCTACCAGTCAGAATCTAAAAATCATGGAGCAGTGACGACTTTATTGACTAACTAGAACAGGGGTCCTCAAACTTAGACCCGGGGGCCGGATATGGCCCTCCAAGGTCATTTACTCGGCCCTCACTCAGGGTCAACCTAAGTCTGAAATTACTTGAAAGCACACAACAACTACTACTACTACTACTATCCTATCTCATCAGCCAAATGCAGGCCCACACTTCCCATTGAAATACTAATAAGTTTATATTTGTTAAAATTGTTCTTAATTTTAATTATTGTATTGTGTTTTTGCACTACAAATAAGATATGTGCATTGTGCATAGGAATTCATTCATATTTTTTTCAAATTATAATCTGGCCCTCCAACAGTTTGAGGGACTCTGACCTGGCCCTCTGTTTAAAAAGTTTGAGGAGCCCTGAACTCAAACATTATAAAACTTTAGACCTCCCTGGTCTTTTTTTATCAGCAAAGCACAGCTGCCTATGCCCCATTTTAACTACATTTATCTG